GTGCAATCAGAATGTTCAACAAAAGATCAAGGACAGTTTTGTCAAACCAGAAGAACGACAAGAGAAAGAAGAGGATGAAGAAGAGGAGATTGCTGTCGAAGAAGAAGAAGAAAAAGACACACAGGAGCCACATGTCCCAGCTGAAGGCTCTTCAGAGAAAGAGGAATCAGCTCCACCTGAACGCTCCTCAGAAAAGGAGGAATCAGGGGAAAAGAAAACAGACATTCAAGATGATGAGACAGCTCCTGAAGTGAAACCTGCAGTTCGACTTTACTATGGTCAAGATATCACTGGAAATGAAGATGATTCAGTTTTTTGAAAATTAAAGGATTGTTTTTCAGATGATTACCATGGTGAATGGGCAGGATTTTACAACAAAGGTTATCCAGCGTCTTCGAAGCATCGACACATGTTTTGGCATGTTAAGTACAGGAAGACCATGTCTCCACATCAAGATTATTGGTACCACCTTACAGATGACCAGTTGATGGTTGAGTACATTGCCAGACACAAGGATCAGAATCCACAACTAGAATTACAAGAACTCAATCAGCGCATTGAATATGGTTGTAGTGATCCAAGGATGCATCCTCTTCATCAAGACAAGGCAGAAAGATCCTCAAAAGAAGCAGAAAAGAGGATTGATGATGATTTTGGAAATCTCGCAAGGGTACTCCAAGATTACGTTGAGGACCACAAGGTCTTGCCTTACTGTATGATCTTGCATAGCTTGGCTTACAGGTATTTAGGTGGAGGCCTATCAGACCCAACATACAAGGATGCCGAATTTCCATACAGATCCTCTCCACAGATACCAGCAATGTTTTGGAATTTGGGAAACTGGTGCAGAAACAGATTTGAAAAATGCCCGGTTCCAGAAAGATTTCAACAATTCATTCCACACATTGACTACACTATCGATGAGGATCATGAAAAATTTGATGAAACCAAATCACAGTTCAACAATTACTTCATCAATGTCATCAAGAACTTTGGAGGACATCTTTTCATGAATTGCGAGGCTGGTTCATTGTATCCTCACAGAGAAAGACTCGACGAGGTTGACTTTAAAACTTCCTTCAATGATTATCATGACTTGATGGTGGCAGCTCGCCTTGGAAAGGATGGCTATATCAAGCAAATTGCTGGATATCACACAGAGGACAACGACACACGAGTTCGACAAGTCTCATGGGCAATCTTTGAAGTATCTTGGGGAAAGACAAAGGATCGAGATACAGATGAGATTGTTGACTTGACAAGAGCTAGGATGAGGATGACACGTGTGTGCGTTTATCACGTCGGACAGAAGTATGCATCAGACTCTGCTGGGATTGTTGGTGAGTGCTTAGCTGTTATGGCTTTTGAGTGTGCCAGATATCAAGTTGACTTCATCGCAGGTGATGGGAACAAGGCATGCTATTACAGCACACCAAAATCTCCAGGTGTCCCTACATACCAACACAGCCTTATCCAATTCTGGATCAACAGAATGGTAGGTGTTGCAACACAAGCCATGCGCAAGTATTTTGATTCATCTTGCCCTCCAATCAGGGTCAAGCATTTCATTTCTTGCAGTTATCGTGACTTGGATTTTCTTGCAACGCACTTGGATGGCATTACAACAGCAACATACACCGACGAGCTCATGAACAAGACAAATGGTAAAGGTGATTGTTGTATGTTAACAGTTGTTGAGTGGGGTCATTCACGCTTGATGTGTGAGGAACGCCCAGAAGACTTTGATGGAGATGAAGATCGCATGAACTATGTGGGTGAATTTTACTTCAAGGTGAATGAAACTTGCTTACATGGTGATCACAACATCTTCATGGTTGCCCCAAATGATCGTGATGCTCATAATCCAATTCTTGTTCATCTGGATCCTTCTGATATGTCATGGAATGAACGACATCATTACAAACAGGCTTTCAAGAAGAAGCAGTATGCAGATACAAGAAAGGAAAGACAGAAGGAGAAAAAGAGAAAGGCATATGAAGATCAAGCATCAACGTATCAGGGCAACGTTAGTTGGGGTGGATCCTCATCTTCAGCGTCCAGACCATGGAGATCAAGTGAGTGGCGATGAATGAGTGTATACTTCTGTAAATGAAGATAACACAGCATGAGAGGCCGTGTACAGTTTTTCTGTGCGTTCAACTTATTTCACACAAATGGCATATACTCTTTTAGATAGAGATAATGCCACAAGTGTCTGAACTTCAATTTAATGTAAAATAGATACTCTTGTAAATAGAGATACTATACACATTTATCTCCATGAATCATCCGGCGAGCAGACCACTCCGAATGGAGCGAACTCCAAAAATTTACCAACTCTGATTTCTGTCCATTGTTTGCTTGAATGAGCAACTTTGGAGATCCGCTATTTCCGTTTATTTCGTGATTTGGTCAATTGTTTTTCGTATGACCTGAATTTCTGAATCTTGCGAACCCGAACTTTTCAATTCGAACTTTCACCGGTAGAGCAAGGCATTTTGCCTATGGAGAGACCGTGCGCGAAGCACCATTGGTCGCTACTGGAAAAATTAGCGAATCCGCTGTTCTTTTTCGACATGTCCTTAGGACATTCGCTGCTTTCACGTGTTTTTCAATTCGAAGCCACTGCGTAACTCCGGTTTCTTTTGCTATTTGCCATTGTGTAGAGAAGTCAGGAAGATACTCTTAATCCCAATTGGGTACGGCAAGGCGTAGTGCTCTACTCATTGCTTTTGAATTTGTGCCTGTGTTTTTGTTTCGACCTAATACCTACATAGGTACATGCATGAGTATTGAGCACATTTATATGCGCCCTTCAAGGATCAAGAGGTATATAGAGTAACCCTGTAGACAAGCACGGACCGGCAACAGGCTGAGTAAAACAAGTGCTGTCATTGGGGAAGACGCCTTAGCTGATCTTGAAGTAGACGCTAGGGCCCCTCTTCACCCTCCCCCCCCGTCCCCCCTTCGGCAAAGGCTTAAGGTACCTTCGAAGGGGGCTTAAGGTACCTTCGCCGAAGGGTGCTCCACGACTGCCCCCTTGGCTGTCACCTGA